GGCGGCGGGGAGAGCCCTCGCCCTGCAGGCAAGGCCCTGCCCTGGGCCGAGCTGCCTCTCCCGGCGGGGGCCCGGCGCCTTTTGGGGGGAGGCAGAGGAGAGACTGCCGAGACTCTGTGTCCATCACAGGCCACAGCCCCTGCCTGGTAACCCAGCGAAACCCAGCTCACATGGCGCTTTTGTCTGGCCCTTGGAAACGTTCAGAAAAAGGGGCGACTCCAAATTATTCAGGAGCGATTTAGGCCACAAAAGAAAAAGACACCTGAATTGGCTCGGTGTGAGACAGCTGGGGGGGTCCAGTGAGGCTTAGAAGCAGAGATAGACCCCGCGTGAACAGAATTACTCCGATTACAGGGACAGGTCTGAGCGTGGCGGGAGGCACTGCCCGATCCTATTTGGGTCCCACAACGAGCACCATTACATCGAATCGACCAAACCTTGATGGACTCGAGCTTCATTCCATGAATTCACATCTATCAACGCAGCACTGCCCATCCTGTCACATCAGATATTACCAGATATTTTCTGCTATTAGGCACGGTGACTCCCCTGCTCTTTTGGGAGCTAGATAGTGGATTGCATAGTCACCTTGTTACCCAGGAGTACACAGAAGCCATCAAGCCTTGATTCAGAATAGGATGTTGAATGAAGTATGCGTTCCTGGTACTGGAAAGCACTGTTCACTCTGACATACATTTCAAGCACACTGCCACGATTTATTGTTTCCATTAGAAAAGTATCTAGTAATCTGAAAATGGATCTAGAAACCATTGTTCTAGATACCACGCTTGACACATAACAAAAAGAAAGCTCATGCCCTGCAGAGGTTACATCGAGAGTAGATTAAGTGAGTTCTAAAGATACCCGTTGAAAGAGTTGTGCAGGTTTTTTCAGGTCTCCTAGACATGTTGCACCAGCACAAACCAACTTGCCAGAGCGCTTTCTAAAAGCCAGCACTCAAACAGACAGGTCCAGACAAAAAGGCTGAAGCCTAAACCTACCTTGAAACCCTTTGCTTGCTTCTAACAAGCCCTCCTGATTGTGAACGACCTCGGAGTTCTCCACAGAAGCAAGGACCACACCTCGCAGAAACACAGCATCTCTCCTGAGCGAGCCCACAGCAGGAACAGCAGCACACACAAAGGTGATGGGTTTCTCCACAGGCAGACACACGTACCCGCGGCACGCCGCCTCTCCACGCTACCTGTCTCGTCTTGTTTTAGCCGTTTCTGGCGAGCAGGCAGGGTACTGGAGCATGCAGAAATCTGGCTTTTCAAAGCACCCTGAAAGCAGGCTCATATTTTTCAGTACCTAAGCGGCCCAGAAGAACTTACCAGGGAGCAAGAAGCAGATAGGTAGTGCAATAGACACAGCTATGGGTGAACCTCAGTTTCATGCTTCTTGGGCTTCTCAGTGACTTACAAGAACCAAGAAACACCAGAAGATGGGACTGAAACTGCCTCCTGCTCATTCTTCAGTGCCAGATCACATCAGGATATAAGATACCTGACGACTACTTGTTGTTTGCAGACCGCTGGAAGACAGAGGCGTAATCACCTATTGGTGAGTCATAACCACATAATCGCATAGAGGTGATGACACAAACTTGTGAGGACACAGAGAGTGATATAGCTTAAAGATGCCTTCTCCCCTTTTCTATTTTTGGATAAAAAAGCAAAATATCGGGACAAGAAGCTCCACTATTGCAAAGCAGCATCACTCCATTGCTTTTGGCAAAGTTGAACAGATTTACACGTGCTGAGGTTATAGCCCATTCTGTTTATAAAAAGTCCTTCTGCCTGGACAGATTCTTCCTTCCTTTCTCTAAACTTGAATTTAATTCTAGGAAAATACCTAGCTTGTCTGAGGCCTCTGGAAGATGGAATCCTCTTTTCTAAACATGGGACATGCAGTGCCACAGCAAAGGAGTGCAAATGCCACCGCAAAAAGGTAGTTCAGTCGACTAACTACTCTGCTAATTCATCCCGTGGACTGGCAACAAACTTCTCCAGCTACCCACCAGGCACCAGTGCAGCTTCTGTGCTCTACGGCAAACCCCAAGGCAGGCAAAGAGAAATGCACAGCTCTCTAGAAATCCTGCAGTGCTACTAACTGCTGCAAGCTTTGACTGAGAGAGGAAGATTAGTCAAATACTGGACCCACTGGGACATGGAGCAATAAAAAGGAAATGGAGAGAATCTCAGAAGATCCTTTCTGCCACAGTAATATTGCCAAAACAAAATCTGCAGTGGGGTCGAAAAGCTGTTCCATCATTCCCATGTCTTCCATTTTTCCTGATTGTCTTCACCAAACTGTATGTAGCTTGCAGGTGGGAGGCCATAACTCACAGACATGCTTATCCCATCATGACTTTTTGTAACAGCACTCTAAATTCAGTCTGGGAAGGTATGTCACTGATTTTTATAGGTGCTGTGACCTAAAAAAATAACTCTTTGATATTGTCATTCTCTTTCTAACCTCTGCAAGAGGGGAGTCACAGACAAGGCGTGAGCTTAGCTCTCCACCGTGTGACATACAAATTTATGCCAAGAGTTTAGTTAGCAGCTGAACTTGTTCATCAGCTATAGATCAAGGCTGTCCCCAACATTTTTGAAACCTTAATCTTCTTTAATTTCTAGTAGAAACACAGCCTTGTTTCAACAGCCAAGTTGAACTATTCTTTCTTTCCCCTTAAAAAACAAAACAAAACAAAACAAAACAAACAAACAAAAAAAACAAAACTAAACAAAAAACCAACCAAAAGAACATGAGAAGTTCTTCTTGTGATCATCAAAATCATCAGCAAAGAAAGTATCTTTTTAGCTCTGTAAGGATACATACTTGAATACATCCAGATACATATCATGTATTTTTGATATACTGAAGGATATATCAATTCTCAGCAGTCACAGAGGGTAGATTAGTGATGTCAGTTGCTTTCATTGTTCTGAGCTTCCTGTTGCTTTGCCACATCTACAAGTTCACCTGACTTTTAATTATGCAGATTGCTTCCTGGTTCTTTCCATGGCTTTCAAGCTCTCCCTGCACTCAGCTAGTCCCCTTTCCTGGATACATACTTTCCCTGTGTAACTGAAACTTTGCTGAAGTGTTTGGAAGGAAGACTCTATCACTGTGCTCTCCTTAACACTGTCCCTGAGAGCGTACTGAGAAAAGCAGTTTTGCTTCCTCACAGTACTGTATTCTTCATTATTTTTTAATTTAGTCCTCCTGCAGATACACCAGACTTAAGAAACCTGTAAGTACTTTTCCTGTACTGGGATGTTTTTCTCGTTTATCTCTCCCTGAGCTTAGAGGATGAGTAGTGTCCTGGAAGAAAACAAACCAATACGCAATCGACTTTTAAAATTTTGAGGTTTCTACAGAATGCAAATTGTTTCCTTTTAGTGTCTGACAATGTAACACAAGTAACTTGCCATGGCAACCATCTTATGAAAGAGAAAAAAATATATCATCACAAGGTGCTTTGTTGCTATAGCAAGGAAAGAAGCTGAGACCTTATCCTTTTTGTTCACCGGTGGTCTATGCATCATCTAGGTAGCACAACCTGTCAGTAGAAGTTTATGTTAGATTCGGTGCAAGTCAGCTGCCTCATGGGTCTATCTGATACTTGGATGAAAACTGAAGTGCAGTCAGAAGGAAAGAAGGAAGTGTTCAGAAGAATTGAAACAAGGCTGGATTCTCAGAAATACAAGACCAAATCCATTTCCGCAGCAAGCTGACAAACTCTGCAGATGCCAGTAAGGGATGAACCAATTTCTTCTGAAATTAATTTGGCTTCCATTCTCTGACAGTCTCCATTCTTACCCCCTCCTTCCTTTTTTTTTTTTTTTTTTTTTTTTTTTTTATAAATCACTGCAGATCTGAGAATATTTTGGAGTTACCTGGGACAGAGGATGGAATAGGATCAGAGTCTGTCTTCAAACCCATTCTCTTTACTGGGATGACTTCTGGGAAGGGCAGACTCATTGCTATGCAGCTCACTTGTGTTAGTGAGACAATTTAGAAATGCCAAAGGGAATTGGCTAAGGGCAGAGAGGGGAAACCCTCATAATTATCTCTGTGTGAGGAAATCAAAATCGAGCTTTGGTAGCTCAGAGGAGGACAATTTTGAAAACTGTTATGTGTGCAAGTAGTCACAGAAGCCACTCAACTACCCTGTGCTTAAGATGGACTCATCTGTAAATCTGGAGTGTCCCTAGGGTATACACAGAATGTTTACTTTACCCCTGAGCTGGAAAGGATGCTTTCTGCGGATAGTCATGAGAAGTGAAAGAAAAAGTGAAAGTTTCTTAATCCCTTGACTATTGATATGAGCTACATGTAGCACAGCTCCAACTGTGTTACTTTTAAAACACTTGTTACTTTTAAAACACTCCCAGTTAAAGTTTAGGTGGTTGATGTAGTAGTATCAGTCTTGAGAAACAGTGGCCAGACTTCTGAGCTGCCTAGGGGTTTTAGCTGAATTTACAGGTAAAATTATTGTGACTCATGGACAATCCTCTTTTAGCTTCCTGGTGAGGCTGTAGAGAAAGTACTGTAAGATCACAAGCCCAGTAGCATGACTTGGAAAGCAGCCTTTGGGAGAAGCTCTTAATGTATCAGATAAATCTGTGTGGAAATGCAAGGCTAGAGCTTACTCCTGACAATGAAATGTTATACTGTGAGTGACTGACTTTTTATAAAGAGTATGGGGAAAATCTGAGTCTTCTGCTGCACAAAGAAACCATGAGATAAATGAAAGTCATCTCATAGAAATCATGCTAAACTATCCAACACTGTAATTTAACAGTCTCCTAGAGGCTGGGAAAAGTCTATGGGCTAATCCTTACTGCAGATAACACCAAGAGACACAGCCACAAGAGACACCACAGCTGTGAAATTCTGCAAGCATGTTCCATCACCCCAAGGGCCTGGGACTCTCAGAGATACCTAAGACTTGGAAGCAGATGTGCAACTGAGAGACCATACTGAGAGAAAAAAGAAGCCCGCTCAGACCTGGTTTCAAAGGGGTTTTTAAGATGGACACTGAACCGGAGAGCTCTCTTGCAGTAATTAACTAACAAAACAAACCCCTGAATTAATTAATTAACTCTCAATCAGTCAACTAAATCTTCTATATCAACTTCAGAAACATCACCTTGCTTCAGATGACCCCACCAGTGAATGGACCCAACCAGTGAGCGGAACCACTTTGGTTTTAATCCTGAAAATAATGGCATGAAGATTACATTGAATTCTACTAAATAGAGTGCTCAGCCCTCTTTTGAACCAAACCATTTGAAACATTGCAGAAGATTCTGGGTGGGCAGAGGAAAATCATCAGCCCTGGAGAGTTATCTGATCCAGCACAGAATCTTTCTCATCATGGATTTCCTGTTTGAAATAAGCAAGAAAACCAGGCAGTGCCTTGCCAGGTGCCTGGTCCAAGCTCCACCAAAGCTAGAGAGGAAAGATTCCTGTTGACTGAAATGAATTCTGCTACCAGTTGGATTTGATCAATTATGAACTGAAAATAGAAACTTGAAGAGACGAGATGCTCTGGAATCACAGAAGGGAAAGGCTTTGTAATCAGAGCTTGGAAGTGGAAGGAGGTCTGTGTTCCACAGTTTAAAAATACAGACAACTGCTGATGCCTTTTTTTCTATTAAAAAAAACCCAACCCAAACACACACAAGAAGAAAGACGTAATTCAAAGACCAGTCATTTCCACTGAGTCAGCCCCCTTGTAGAGACGCTGTAGGAATGAACAACAATCGCATCTCCCTGTCCGTGATATGCAGTAGTGAAGTTCCCAGCTGAGCAGATGGTGAGATGTTTGGACTTTGCTGATTTTGCTGGGGGGGTGAGAGATAAGGTGTAGGTTAGATCTCTGGGGCTGTATTTACAAGCAGTGTCGCTTTCTACCAATGCCTGCTAGTTTCAGTCTGATCTGAAATCTGACACTCTAAAGAAAGTGTCCTGCTTGTTCCTGTGGGGTGTTTGCTTAGGTCCCCAACAAATGTTCTTTTTGATTTTTCTTGCTTTTTCCCTAGCTCACATGGTGAGTCTAGAGCCTGAGTTACTTAGAAATGACACAGATTCCTTCACAAAATGTCCCCACCTGACCAAGAGTGACCAGGCTTGGTAAGGTCCCATGTTTCCTTGCAGTCTCTGCTGAGCCTGCCAGTGTAGATCAGCGAGGGTCTTGTAGGGTGGGAGGTCTGGTAGTGCAGGAGTCTGCAAGTTGGGAGCCACACAGATTTCCCTGGCAGCGGTTTGCTGGCATATGTACAGGAGCTTTTATTAGCTGTCAGCTTGAATTGAATGTCAGTCATTCCCTTGGAGCCTGATCCTCAGATCACTGCACTCTGAGTGAGGTTTTTGCCTTTGTCTTCATACAGCAGTAACTCAGGTCTTTGCAAGTTGCAAGCCTTATTTCATGTTAACAAGCCCTCGTGATATTTAGGCCCTGTGTGATTTTCATTTTCAAACTCTACAAAAAAGGTTGAACACTTTGCAGCTTCCACGCTACCAGTTTTTTTAAGGGACAGTTTGGATCACTTACCATTGTCTGGGTCATCTGTGTCACTTTTGCTGGCAGGAGACATATTTCCAAGAGTCGAAACTGGATGAGTTGCTAAGGGATGTCTTGTGCTCTGTGTCATTTCTGCATTCACTGATGTGCAACAGATTTATCTGTGTAATTCAAGGCCTCTGTACCAGATGAGTTTGTACTGAAATCTCAGGCTATCCCACATGTCCTTCTGGAGGAGACACTAAGATTATTCTTACTCTTTTTAGAAGAATCTTCTTACATCTTCATCAGCTAATGCTGTTTTTCTTCTCCTCAGCATCGAGCAACAATTGCTAACTACATCTGTTTCTCACAGAAATTTCAAAGCAGTGTTGCGCAGCATGATTCAGGCATGCACACATGGTAGAACTAGATAGAATTAAAGACATTTGTGTTTATCCAGTTAAACTACTGGTTTCTTTTCCTTTGACTACTTTTAAATGTACCAGCTGTGCATTGTCTCTACCCCTGCCACACAGCCCTCCTTTTCATCATCAAACTCAAGCTGCTGAGCCTTTTCCTCTCTTCTGTCAAGTCCTTCACTAAATTCTGGTTTTCCTTCTGTGAGGAGCTGCGCTAAAACTTCGTTCCCATCTTTGTGAGCAAGTAAAGCTGATGCAAAGCAGTACTTACATAAAATGTAGCTGCCCTGTCAACTGGACAGGAGGCTGGAATCGGGCCTTCCCCCACCTCTCTGCTTCTTGGTGCTCTTGAGTCTCCAGTGTACACTCCTTAGTAAAGCTTGCTTATCTGATCCCCTTCCATTACAGACAGCTGTTTTCCTCTGTGGCAGCCTCTTCCTGATGCTGCAGTGGAGCATTTCCAGCTCCTCTGTCATCCCTTTCAGTGATTACCTAAAATCTGCACTCCTGCAGTAACAAAGTCCATTGGTGACCTCAGACTTCATGTTATTTATAGCAAAGGTAGCCTCTCCTGCAGTGCAGCCACTTGCCATCAGAGCTGGAAATCCTGAGTTACACGGCTCCCTGTGAGCTTATGGTTGTAGCAGTATCCCCATATCAAGTGAGATTCAGGCTAGATCTGTGTCACTGTCCTACCTAGGCTGTCCCAAGAGCCCCCTCATAGTGGTGAGGGCAGAGTCCTCCCATGCAATCGCCTTCAAGAGCAGCACAGGCCTAGCAATCGCTCCTTCAGTTGGAGAGGTGGCGTAACTGAGCTCTCCAGATTACTTCCACACCTATTTCACACAGATTCTCTTTTTCATGGCAGTTCTCCCTCTGAAAGGCAGAGAGGACCCGCAGTCACTTGCATCTTGCAGGACTGGTGCAGGGCCATGGCATGTTTCTAGGTAACTCTTCGGGCAGGTGTTCATGAACTCAGTAGTCATGTGAGTGTCTGTGTGTGCAAATCAGTCAGATACTGTTTAAAGGCTTTCAGGGGGCCAACGCTAAACATTTCTGAAGTCAGACCTCCCATAAGATTCCTGAGCTGAGATGTCCAAAAGAGCATGTTGCAAATTTCTTCTCTGGTCTCAGATTCTTGACTTTGCCTTTTCCACTTCTAGTCAGCAGACTTCAGTTGGGGCAGTGCTGAGGCGAACGTACCAAAACACCAATCAGAAATGTTATATGAATCAAGTGATTGATGGAATTTCAGCCACAGAATATGAAAACATGAGTAAGCTAATGTTAATCTACAGATGTTGTATTAACACTGAGTGATTTCCCAGTCCTCATTAGCAATACGTTTTGACAAGTATAGAAGGTGTTAGCTATAGTCTCCCTTCAGTAAGCTGTTTAATCATCAGAGCTTACTGGCAGTGGGATTTGGGAGCATTACACGATCACAAAGTGAATTAAAAGTAATACAGTACCCTCCCTCTAGCTTCTCTGGTATAGTGCACAGGGAATGGGTTCAGAGCTGCTCTGTGCCCCCATTTAAGCAGCACTGGTGTGCTCCAGTGAGGACTAAGCAGGAAGCTGCTGCCTCCTTAGTCAAGATCTTCCTTGGTTTTGGGAGCACACTTACACCAGCTTTCCTGCAGTGATCAGCACATGCCAGTGAACTTGTTATAGCATGTTCAGCAGCATGTTCTTGCTGGCTTATTGAGGTCTGATCCAAAGCTTACTGCAGGTACAGGGAAGATTCATGGACTTCTTCAGTGGCCTTTGGACTACTCTGTGGAGACAAAAATACAACAGTAATAGATACATGGGCGAGAGGACTCTACATCACCACCACATTTCACTCTGAAAAGACGGTAAAAGAGATTCTGCAGCCCAACCCTGTGCATCCCAGAGCAGTAAAATCACCACAAATCTGACTTAATAAGTAATTTTGAAATCACTTTCTGGTTTGTGAATCATCTGCCTTTCTGAGGATCTTGAGTAATGAGAGGAGAACAGTACAGCTTCTGTGGTCATCTCTACCTGCTCACGGGGCTGCCAGCCTGCTCTGGCCTTGATTTCCAGCTGCTCTTTTAAAATGCTGTCTGCCACAGAGCAGTTCCTCATCTAGAGATCTCAGACATGAAGTAATCCTCCTAGCTTTTCTAGAAAAAAGCCAACTACCATTAAACCTGTTTTACAGGTGGGTAGGCTGAGCTCCAGTCTGCTTGAGATCACAAAGTGTTATTTAGGACCAAACTGCCTGGGCTGGCACATTCCCACAGCAGGGATGACCGCCTCAGAGGAATATGAACCTCTTTGTCAGAGGAAGAGAGTGCCCAGGCAGAGGGGAAGGCTGGCCACACAGACTCTGTTTACGTACATGCTTCGCACAAGACTATGAAGCAAATAAACCTTGCTGGCTGCGTGGCCCAAATCCAGGTGTCCCTCTGATGAAGATGCAAGCATAGGTTAAACCAAAATGCCGTGCTCGGCCCTTTGTGCTGAGCCATCCAGCAGGTGGGAATGTAAAACTCTGTCTGATTGCTTATGCCTGAGTCACCTCCTTTAGCATTTGTTATTGCCTAGCGTGTTAGCATGCTGCCTGCTGGATAATAAATGACTTCATTCACTGCGGCAGTGAGGACACTATTAAAAATTAACCCTAGCAAATGGTCTTGCATATTTTTTTCAGTTGGAGCCAGACAAGGGGGAAGAGGAGAGCAGTGCTGTTGAAATCTGATTTGCAGAAAAGGCAAGCGGTGAGTTTTTATTAATGGGGGTGGTTCACGCTTCAGTTTAATCACTGCAGTTGGTGGCAATCGATGATCAAAATTCAGAGGGCTTAAGGCACTTGGTAAAGTTAAAAGCAGTGCAAGTAGAGAAGACTCAATAGGCATATTGCAGAGGAGGTCAAAGAACGGGATAAATGAGATTACTATGCTGACATGTAATTTATGACCTGTTTGCAGAAATAAATGAATTTAGCACATAGATGTTATTACCACATATAAGGAATGTGGTCTGTAGATGAAAAACTCTTCAGTTTTGGTTCATGTATTGCACCCTTTTCTCACACTATCACACTTACAACCATACCCTATCTATAGCAGCATGCAGAGTATATTTACAGGAATGAAGGGTTTGCATTAAATATCTGAGGAAATAGATCAGCTGACAGACAGATCCCTCATTTTCTTGGCTTCTCTTGCCTCCAGCACCCACACAGTATCCATCAAATTGTCTCAAGTCAAACCCTCACAGGCTGCATTTGAAGCTCGGGCAAGGAGCCAGGCAGGCTTAGCAAGCAGAGACCTTTCTGTCCGCACGCACTTCCCACCGTCTGTACACTGCAGCCCAGAGCAGGGGAGCTCAGCTTTAAGCTCAACAAAAATACCTCCTTCCTCCCTTTGCATTGCTCCAAGAAAGGGGATTTGATCTGAAGCCTGCTGATGATCATATTAATGATCCCGTTGTTGACACAAAAACTGCACCTTGTTCTGAGATGCCATTCAGCTGGCTGTGGTACAGCAGTGAGCAGCACACCACATCCCAAGCCCCCTGTTCCTCAGGGTTGTCCCAGACCCTTGAGCAGCTCCTTCCATAGAGGGTTGATGCCTGTAGATGGTAACATAAGCCGAAATGCCAGGTGCAGGGACTATGCAAGCAGATCCACCCTCTGGCTGGCATGCTTTTCCCCAGAAGCATACTGTAGCTGTTGATTTCACAAGCTGCACTGCAATATGATGGCACCTATCAAAGGGCCAAGCTGAGGTCTGCATGTTTGTACCGGGTCACCTGCCCCTCTCCATGTGGCTGAGGTATTTTAAAATGTCAGGCTTAAGTAGATATTATGCTGCAGCAGGGAAGATGATATAAAGTTCCTGCATAAACAGCATTATGAATTTGCTGGATGAAAGGTGCTCAAGATGTTGCTATGTCCAAGCTGGAGACGTTTCCTTCTCTTTCCTTTCCTGTGGCATTTCAGGGGCCACGGTTGACATACTCCTCAGATTAATTCCTGCTTTTTATTTGTTTTCTCTACTTTATCTCTCCATTCAGATAGAGCTTTGTCATTAGATGTAGTCCCTGGCTATCCTGATCAGCTATCCAAGCCCCCAAGCACCCTGGTTCTGCCCATTACATCGATGGTGAACATGTCTCCAGAACAAGCAGCCCTGGCTCCCATGTTGCTGGGGCTTGGCCATGCACCATGGCACACAGCAGGAAGCCTTCCAGACTTATCAGCAAAGTAGGATGGTCCCAGAGACCTCTGTTTCTCAGCAGCTGTTTGCCTAATATCTTGATTAAAAACCAGGCATATCAGAAAGTTGTGCTTGCAAGTGCTAGGATACTCCCTGAACATATTTCCTAGAGAGCTCTGTATAAATGATGAGGAAGCAATTCAAGCGTGCGATCACAAACAGGGCGGCGTGTGGCGTGGTACGGGACCTCCTGCCCTTGCTGGGATGTTGACTCTGTGACAAACGTAGTTCTTCACTCTGTGTTTTAAGATCCTGAACTCATTGCATGCAGCGGGCAACAGTTTCACTGAACTATTGCTGCAGCCAAGCATGCTGCTGGAACAAGGATTTTATTTTAATGATCACTGACCAGGAGTTATCTTATCACAACGGTTGTCAGTCGACACAACAAGTCAGTCTCTGTGGAGGTCATATTTTTTGAAAGTCCAATAGCTTAAAATTAGTTTGACACCTCTTTGTAAAATGAACATGATCTGAAATCACTTCCTTGAACTTCAACAGGTTTGGGATCACACCCATAATTTAGTTATTTATTTGTTTGTCTCTCCCCAGTCTTTATATTTTATTCTCCAAGTTGCCAAGGGCTAGACATGTTGTGAGGCAAGTATCTCAAAGGAGAAATAAGTGTCTGAAATGCTGGTGTTTCATCCCCAAGCCCCAAATTAAGGTTGACATATGGGTGATTCCCACAGTCCTCCACCAAGGGGGGGTGAGTTTGCCTTTAGGCTTCCCTCCAGGGTGTGGCTGGCCTGGCAGGGAGAGCCATTGGGTAAAGGAGCCCCAGGGGTCTGCATTCAGTAACCCAAGGCCAGGTGTCCCACTGAGGGATAAAAGCTGGGACCCCTTGCAGGAGGGGTAGTGTCTGTGTGTGATGTGGATGTCCTGTGCAGTTCCCTGTTGGGGAAGGACCTCCCGCCTCCCTGGGACTGGGCTCCAGTCAGGTCTGGCTTTTGTAAACGTGGGCTGTGTAGAGATTCAGTGTGTGGCTTCCTTGGTCTTATGTATTTGGCTTGTTGGCCCGGTTGTCTCCCATCCCTTCTCTGGGAGACTGCGTTTCACCATTTATTCCACCCATTGTTGGTTGTGCAGTGTTGTTGTTGGGGTCAGTGGGATTGATGTCAATTATGTATAATCTGACTGACTTGTTTGTACCCCCAGCACTCACTCATGTACTGACCCTTTTGTATCAAATACAATTTGGTTATTGGTTCATCTTTATGCTGGCTGTGTCCTTTATGCTAGGCCTGATAATTGGCAAAGCAGTGTCCTATGCAAACAGTTGTAGGTATATGTCCAGCTGCTCAATTCTCTAGAAAAGAAAGTTGTGAAGCACACCTGGAAAATCTGCCCTCCACAGACCACGAGCTGGCTGGTAAACACTGGATGCATAGTTGAGTGCTGCACACTTTTGTTTCCACTGACTTTTAAAGAGATGGAGAAGGCAATGTATTTTTTTAACACTGTTAGGCTTGTACCCTAATCTGCAACGCAGAAAGTAATTCACTGATAACTTAGAAATTAATCAGGTGATAAAGTTTGGTAGATTGCTGCCAAGATTGCTGACAGTGGTCTGTTAATGAACATCCCTGTGTTAGCACAGCACAGGGAGTGACCAGCGTAGGGCGGGACGGGACGGGGGGCTTGTGTGCACCCCAAGGAAGACAGATTCTGGCAGTGGTGATGTGATGGGAGTTGTTAGAGGACACCCATTTCACCACACTGCTTGGTATTTAGACGTATCTGTCTACATTAGCCTCCACTACAAAATAGCAAGAGCTAAGCACTGCACAGAGTTGTGTTAGTGTAATGCTAATGCAATGCATGCACTTCTGCTCCTCTCGTTACGGCTGTACTTTTGAATTCATTGAGTCTCTGTATCCCATCATATTAGAAAAGGCCAGATGTAAATCCAGCACTGGTTTTGCTCCTTGATGTTTTCCAAAAATTTGGATCCAAGTTGAAACAGAGATTGTCAAAGGTCCACCCCCATTGCTAACAATGGTGGGCAAGTCTGGGAATGCAGGGTCTTTACTCAGACTGTAGGAAGTGAATGGAGATGAGTCACAGTACTACAGGAGCATCATGACTCCTACAGATAACAGTCATTTGTGGTCATGAGAGGATTCCCATTCTGTATTTCTGTCTTCTGCACAATGGATTTGCTCAGCCAAATGCACACCACTCAGCTCAGGCACTAGGAGTTTCTATTAAACCACTGCAAGGGTTTACACCAGGATCTCTTCTAACGTATTTCGAGAAAAGAGGGTAGTGGGATGGAGTGCTTAGCCAGAAGTGCAAGCATGCAATGATAAAGTGCAGGTTTTCATGGCCAAAGAGCTGACCTACAAGCATGGCTGGAGTCCCCTGTAGCAGATAACATGTTGCGTTCACCACCAGCCAGTGGGGTTGCTGACAGATCTAGCCTTGAAAACAAGCTGTCAAGGAAGTTGCTTGAGGTAGATGTGAGAATTGTGTGGACTGGGATATGTTTTATGGTTTTCAATACTCTGAAACACTACCCGAGTCTTGGTCTCTTCCAGTATGCTAAGTTAGGTAACAGTTGAATTTTACTGAAATTTCTAGATAGTGCATAAAAAGTAGAGAAGTGTACCAATAACCCATCTTCTCTCATCACTAGTCTAATTTAGCTGATGGAATAACAAAGTACACAGTCGTTTTTTCTAACCGTGCATTATGCAAAATCAGCCAGGGCTGTAAGGAGAGTATTTGGAAATCAGGTCTCTCCTGTCATTCTGAGGACAGGGAAACATCCTTCCCTCTCTGTGAGGATAGGATTCCTTCCAGTAGTCTAGAGGAAGTGACACATGACCATGACCCAAATACACATGAATCCTAAGGCTTTCCAAGGAGTCTATCAATGGAAAAGGCAAACTGAGCCCCTTAAATTCTAGGGAAAATCCCAGTGCAGGATGGTGATGTGTTGCATCACTTTTCATTCCTGTGTAGTATTTGTCGGACTCAAATCCAGGCTGCGTGCAGCAGAAGCAGATATGTAAGGTCTTGGGTTCCTTTGATGACAGAGCAGATAGGACCATTTTTGCCTTTGCTCAGCTCATTTGCTGATGCTGAGCCAGAAGCAGGCTCAAGTCACCTGGTAGATCATGGAGCTGAAATACCCCTGAGAGCACTGGGAATGGGCAAGGCACTTGAGGCAAAGGAAGAACTTTTTGGCTCTTAGCATGTTAGGACAAAGAGCCATGTCTTCCAGGCCAGATGCTGGCCCTAGGATTACATCAGCTTGCACAGGGATGCCCCGGGTATGAACTGCCTGGCCCCTTCCCTACCTGCTGACCTCCTCCCTCCACTACTGCAGTCTGTGCCCCAGATGCTTTATTTCCTCCCCTGTAGGACAGGGATTTGTGAAGGACTTTTGCCAGGGCTGTTGTCTCTAGCGTAGCTCGTGGCGGTGCTGTTGCTGTGGTGGCTGAAAGCCTTGGTGTACATGAGCTGCATTCAGAGTAAGCTTTGAACTGTGCAAAGTGCATGCAAACTAGTGGTATAACGGCATACAAACTAGTGCTTTGCCCTGATTAATTTTTTAAAAGCCCCAACTTCTCTACTGCTTCACACCATATATTGTCACTAACACTAATGGGAAGTGAAAATAAATTGACACCTTTCTTATTTGGTAACATTTTGTGGTGGCTTTGCATTGGCACAAAAAGCAAGTACACATTGCAAAGCTGCGGGTTCCCCTGCCTGAAGACAGCCAGATGAATTTCACAGCTAATGCCTCCTTGGCAAAACAGACCTAAAAACGCAGTGAGGTCACGGGTTTCTTTACACTGCAAAGAAGAACTGATGCTCCTGAAAAACTATGGTGGAACAGTCATTGACCTTAACTCCTTTCCAACACCAATGAATTTTGCTCTTAGTTTAATGTTGAAAATGAGTTGTAACTCAATCACTGACCGTGGAATTCATCCCAGAAGAAATGCAAGGACCACCAACAATGTGGACCAGGTGTGAATTATAAATAGCATCAGCAAGAGGCCTTCTGTGTCCCAGTGGGCACAGCCAACACTATTCCTTTTATATTTTTCTTTTAAGACTACCATTTTTAAACTCTCTCAGCAGGACCCACTCTTGCTGAGGACTTCTACCACACCAAGCCCCTAAACTGAATGAAACCCCTTTAACGGTACTACAGTTGTAACAATGTTGGGTTTTGTACTTACCAATTCTTTAGTAAAAAAGCCCATCTGGCAGCTGTAGGGCAGCTTTAGACTTGACCCATAGAGTGGGACACAAAACAATAATTGATATTTTATACACAGGCATTTCAAGTTACTTTTGATTCATCCTGAGTCATGAATGATATAAACAAGGGACTGCAAGCATGCTTTTCTGGTTCTCAATATTTTTTTCAGATAAGAAAGCTTTTGTTTCCTTTCTCGTGTAAAAATGGGAAGGGAGGGAAACCTTGCATTTATTTATTCGTTCATTTATTTACAACTCTTCATTAAAATTAAGACAGAATTAGGAGGTAGCCCCTTCTGGAATTAGGAAATCCTGGCTCGGTGGCTCAAATTTTAATAAAGTGCCCTATCTCACCTTTGATACCTCGTGTCTTTCATCCCAATCAGTCACCTCGGCTTCACTGTAATGCAGTCGCTTCTGGGTAGAATCACTTTGTTGGAAACCAAAACCTACCTTTCTAAAGCAACAGTACAAAGGAAGGAAAGAGCCCTCTGGTGTGGCATCTGCACTGGCCATTGCTTCAAAGTTAAGTGGGATTCCACCAGAGTTCTTCCCTCCCAGCAGAGATGGGCTTAAGCTAATGAGATATCCCAACACAACTGGAGCCTGCCTTAAGCTTACCTCTCCTTTAAGGGACCCTTCACCATGAGAAGGTGCCATTTGCTGGTTTTATTGCCTTCTAGTACCCCAAAACATACTCTAAAACTCTACCAAGCCAAGGAGGGGGTTCATTTTCCTTGAGTGAGCATGCAGCAGTGAGGGGATACAGGTTCTGTCATTCAGGACCTCTGGAGTGTGCAGTCACCTTTAGATGCCACACATGCTTTCTGTATGACTTTGACATCAGTAGTTTGGTTTACTTGTTCACAGAAGCAAGGACAAAGAAAAGCTATAATTGCCCATCTTTCAGTGTGAGTTAAAATACTCCATAAAAATTATTAGTGAAAGTTTTTCTAGGTCTAGTTCAGCTTGAAAAGATACAGCTTTGTACAAAATGCCATATGTTGCCTGATGAAGCTTTCCTTTCAGATTGCAGTTTATGAATTCATATAAGCCTGTGAAAAGGAGCAAAAACAAATGCCCGGATTCAGTGAGTCAGAGAAGACGCTTTTTTAACTGGATCCTCTCATTGCCCTTTGTTTTCATGCCAGGTGCAGTGACAGCAAAATAAACTCAATTCACAGACTTCTGTCATCCTCCGGATCTTAGGATCAGTTCTGACTCCCTCCCAGCCTCATTCATCACTTCTGAGGATGAAGTCCTAAACACCTGCCGTGGCTGAAACTGTTCTTACATCATCTTCTGAACACAGTGACTTCAAGCACATGAAGTCATGAGGTTAATACCATAGTCAAGACTTCAAGCAAAGCTCTTTCTGCAGACGTGAGCTGATTTTTTTTTTTTTAAATGCCATGGTAGTTACTAGTTCTTAACCAATAGAAAAACTACCAAAGGTAATCAGGGTTCTGCTTATCATGCAATACAAGAAGATGGAAGAGTTTTCCAGCAGAGCAGCAGTCTGGATGGGGGTGGCAGTACCGTAGTATGAATTCCTCAATCTCAGATTAGTTTTTATTTTCATCTTGTTGTATATAATGGGGATGAATATCATTGCTCTGTATTATCTACTTGGAATAATAAGCTTCTAGAGACATGTCTTTTACCATGCATGGCATTCATCTGGTAGTGTTAGCTGTATTGACACCTTTTTATGTAAAGATTAAGAATAGTTGAAAATCAAACCTAAATAGGGCAAGCCTGAAGATCATCTAGGTGTGGATTTACAGCTAAAATAATTCCTGTTCCTCTGCTTTCACTAGAGATGCATAACACTGTGGTGGTGGTAGGATGGCTAATGAAAACTACACAGAAATGGAAGTTCTTCAGGGAAAGCAAAGTTTCAGGAGTTTGATACACTTTACTTTTGGACTGAGTAATTTCTGCCTTGCTGTACTGAAAGAACATCTTAAACAAAATTGTCACATTTGGGATGATGAGACAGAAATAGAGGACTGCAAATGCATGCCAGTTCTGAAGAAGCTGAGAGGCAAGAGAGAGGAGATGTAGGTTAACACACACCCATCAGTCTGACCCCTAACAGTATGTAACGTTTTAGAACAGATTTTGACTGCAAGCATAATTAAAAACATGGGAAAATATGGCAAGGGTTTACCAAAAGTGGATTATACCTACCTCTGGTAAGAGGATGAATCTTCTAGATGAAAAAAATACTACTATTTGGGGACTTTAGGACAGCCTTCAGTACTGCATCCTGAAAGAAATTGGTAGTTCCTCTGGAAAAGGGATTCTCACAAGACAAAAAGGTGATTACATGGCTAGCTAATGGGGAGAAGCGGTCATGCTGCAAGGGGGACTATCAGGCCAAGAGATAGTTTGTAGTGGAGGTTCTTAGAGACAATACTCAATTTCTCTTAGTGCCATTTGGGAAAAAACGAAGCATGCTAATGACATTTGCTAGTGATTAAGCGGTGTCATCAGAGGAAGACCGTTAGAATGGGATGGGGTAACAAGAACAGAATAAAGTGTAGCAGTACATAGGGTAGGGTCTCATACTTAAAAAACCTTTTACTACAGTGGAGACTTCCACTCTAGATGCCTTTGTGACTGGAGAGGACAAAGAGAGGAACCCCATCTTAACAGTCAATGTTTATGAGCAACCAATTTGATATGACCATGATATCATGACCCCAGGATATACCAGCTATTTACAGTACAGAAAGGAGAGTATTTACTCCACTGCACAAGACGTCCAGAGTAAATTATACTGTTCTGGTCACCATCTTCAAGAATGGACAGCTGGAAAAGAAAAACCAGGATGATAAAAGAATTGTGAGCCTGTCTTTAATGACAGGAGATTTTGAGCTTGGCATGTATGACTTAGCAAAATAAATGTCAAGAGGAGATGACAGTGGGCCCTGTAAATACACCAGGAATGCAAACATCAGAGAGTAACAGTTATCTTAAGATGAAAAATAATTTGGCAAAAGAACAAGTAGGTATAACTTGGCAATAAATAGCTTTACCCTATAAATTAGGAGGTCAGTAATCCTCAGAGAGAGTCTATGGACAAACCTTTCAGAAGGAGGAAGAGACTGACAGGTACCTAAATGACTCCGATGTGGTTACCTGCAATAGCAGAAAACTGGTTCCTCTGACCAGAAAGTCCCTTTTGGTCCTGTGTTTCTAGGTTGTAGTACAATGGAATTCCTAAATGTTAATAATGCAAGTGGCAACAGCAATTAGCTATTAATCAATAATATTAATTAGTGACTGGGATGACTGGATGTTACTTGTGACTGGATTAAACCAGGAGGACAGATGAATCTCTTCTTTAGAAGATAAGACCCCAAAGGAAAAGCATGTCCTCTAGGCTTGGTTTTCAGAGAAAGTTTTACCTGATTCCTGTTTGCATAGCACCAATGTAATTAATCCAGACTAACCCATTTTGTGGAGTTCCTGTGATGGTGAGACCAAAATCAGGTCCAACATCTCCAAATAGGTCCAGGGTATGCTGATTGTTAATACTAAGATTTAAAAATTTTAAACATTTCTTGGCAAAAATGAAACATAACTTTTCTCTTCTATAAAACTTCACAAATGTACAATGTGATTCCTGGATAGAGATCACATCAGCTCCACAGTTATTAATTTACAGGTTTCTCACTGACCTTAGCTCAGCTCTGGGAATGATGCCAGCACAATTACAGTAAGTCTGAACAGGACAGACATAAAGCTCTTGTATCCACCCTGAAATTATGCCAGATTTTTCTTTTGCTCAGTGATGGAAAGATGCATTTCTTCTCTGATTAGTTTCAAATAGTTCAGGCTGGGTTGGCAGAAACAAGATTATTTCCAGCAAAAGAATGAAAAGAAGTAACCTACCATGCAGATATGTGCATACATGACACACTTACTTCATAGATAACCTTCAGGAAGTGTGTCCCAAGAATGGGTGTGGGGAGAACTGAGTCAAGGTGCCTTGAGCTAGTTACCTGGAAGATAAATGGCAGAGTTGGGAATAAAATTCAAGGGGTAGATGCTTGATTTAGTGTTGTTTTCACTGAATCATGCTACCTTCCTGGAACACACGGAGGCCCATTGCCTTCCTTCCTGTGAAGATGGGCAGCTGGACTGCAACGGCACCAGGTGGAGCTGAGTGTGCTCATCCCCTTGGAAAATCAGACCCCTGGTGATGTTCTCTGACGTGAATTGGCCATCAGACTTTCAAGAGAGAAGTCAACACATTTCCTGACCTATGGTCTAAGATAGTATTTTCCAAATCCTAGAGTAAATTTAATGTTGCTGCAGAGGAAACGCTGATGCAATCCACCAGCAGCGGCTGCTCTCCAACATCCTTGCAAAGGTACAGCACATACTGGAGGTGTGAGGGGGTGAGCAGATGCAAGCAGGGTGTTCAAAACCCCAGCCTCGTCTGAATGGCAGGCAGGGCTCTGTGTCTTCCCCCCAGACCTCCCACCTTCCTCCCCCAAGAGAAACGCTGTTAAGGGCTGCTCCCCAGATAACACGGGGTACCATCCTGAAAGTAAACCCCTGAAAAAGCAGTGGGACCACTGAGGGTGTGGTCACATGTTCCTAGGTGCCTGATCTACGAATCCTCTATCTCAAGCGTGGAAATGTGGATTCCTCCCAAGTGTGAGTGAGAATGGTAAGAGCAATGTTCTGAATAAATATGTTGTGATGAGTCTAAAAGATCAGGTAATGTGTGTGTTCCAACAGGCAAATTTAATTTATGGACAGATAAGTCTGGCTGATTGAATTAACCTGGTTTAATGAATTACTGCCTCTCAATGGAGCTGTGAAGACTGACTGCACTGTGCTTTAGTCCCTTGCTTTTTTAAATAAATCATATTAAGGGAAAGCAAACACGCTTGGTTTAGAGTGGAAGGGCTATTAACATGGCCAGTTAGGATGGCTCTGCAGAGGCACAGTAACCTGTTACACCACAGGAGGTTAATCTGTACGCTAGGCTGCCCGTGCCCTGGCTGTGCACTTGGCATGGATCACACTGTGATTTTCGTATGTCCTAGAAAATCCCCCCTTCCTGAAATTAGCAAGTATTCATTACTCGTGTTGGGGTTGAATAGTGAAAAAGGAATATGATGATACTGTGGCAGTCTCCAACCAGGAGATGGTGAATGGTGAAAGAACAGAACATTGCACCAGCATTACACTCTAGCAAGCAACAGAGATGTTTAACTATGTCACCAACGCAAGTTGAACCACATCCATTGCATCCAGATTATGACAAACCTCATTCTGCCATGTCTAGTCTTCTGACCACTCTGGACTGGGAATTTAGGTTTTTAATCTGTTTGTTTCTTGTTTGGGTTGTTTGAGGTTTTTTTAATGCAAAAAGATTTGGTGAACCCAGCCTTGTGGTGCATCACAAGTCGTATTTTTCGGTCCTCAGCACGTGAGCTAAAAGAGTGACTGCCCCGGGGACGCTGGTCCCTGCACGTGGGCTGACTGCAGGCCTGGGGGGGGGTTTGCTGCCTGTCAGCCCGCAAAGAAGGTTTCAGATGCTGTGGGGAACAGAGTTGCCCCCAAGGTGCCTCCTCCTATCAGCCTGACTCCTGCAGCCTTGTGGTCACCTGCCACCCCAACCCCATGCGGGCTCCTGGTGCCACTCCCTGTCCTTAACACCGTGCCCACGCCGCGTTCACTGGATCACAGAATCACCTCGGTTGGAAAAGCCCTTGCAGCTCCTCCAGCCCAACCATGACCCTCACCCTGACCGTTCCCAACCCCACCAGATCCCTCAGCGCTGGCTCAGCCCGACCCTTCAACCCCTCCAGGGATCCCGGGGACTCCCCCCCTGCCCTGGGCAGCCCATTCCAACGCCCAACAGCCCCTTCTGCACAGAAATCCTTCCTCAGAGCCAGCCTGACCCTGCCCTGGGCAGCTTGAGGCCATTCCCTCGGGGCCTGGCGCTGGCTCCTTGGCTCCAGAGACTCATCCCCCCTCTCTGCCCCCTCCTGGCACGGAGTTGCCGAGGGCCAGGAGGTCTCCCCTCAGCCTCCTCT